CTTGGTTTGGAACCTGCAACATATTAGAAACTGTATCAATCATTTTAATTGTGTGGACATAAAGAATCAAAGTTCAGATATGTTTTCTCTAGTTTTTAGAATATAGGATCTGACTTAAACTAATTAATTTAATCTTGATCTTTGAATAAAGTTAATTAATCTCAGCCATTTGTCTAATTAAATTTTGTGTGCTTGTGCATCTGAAGGACGTTAAACGATTGCCTTTGATTTAATTAATCCTAAACTTTTCTTTTGGTACAGAATTAATCGTGACCATGTTTTAATTTCATAATCTTAATTTATATGCATAGATGAATCATAGGGATTTTTAGTTACCCTATAAATTATATTTTTATTAAGGCATAAGAGATTAACTACTCATGCATATATAACATCATCCACATTCTATATATAAACGTAGGGGTGGCATTTTTAAACCGAAAAACCGCAAAAACCAACCGACAATTTACTGTGATAAAACCGCAATCGCGGTAAACCGAACCGCATTTGCAGTATTAAGAACCGAACCGCTTTGCGGTTGCGGTTGCGATATTTGATTTTCAAAACTTGCGGTTACCGCAAACCACAAAGTATAGCCGCACAGATGATGAGGTTGAATTCTACAAGGAAATGGAACATATGACAACTTGTAAGTAATTAGTTTATTTATGCTAATGTTATTTATGCTTCTTCTTATAATAAAATGTACTAAACTATGTTGTTTTATTTGTAGATAACATTGGTGCTCAAACAACACAACGGGGTTCTTCAAATCCACTCACCACCAACACTTGAGTTTGTAACATTGGTGCATTGCATTTTCCTTTTAGTTTGTAACTTTAATTAACTTTGAATTGGATTTTTCTTTTTTGTTGTAACTTTAATTCATTTTGCTTTGCATTTTCCTTTTGGTTTATAACTTTAAAGGATTTGAAATTGGAATGCTTGAGAAGTTTAACTTTAATTGGAATGCTTGGAATTGTAACTTTAATTTTCTTAGGTTGTGAATGCTTGAGAAGTTGAAGAGATTGTGAATTTATATATGTTTGAGAAATTGAGGTTGTGTATTTATTTATTTAGGTTGTGAATTTATATTTTTGTGAATGTTTGACAACTTGTGGTTTTAAACCACTAATTCGCGGTAACCGACCGCATTTTGCGATTTACCGCGCGGTAAACCGCAAAACGCGGTCGGTTTGCGGTTTCAAAAATCACCAAACCGCAAATAGTCGGTCGGTTTGCGGTTTGAGTAAAAATTCGCTGTTACCGAACCGCAACCACCCCTAATAAACGAACCCTAAAAAATTATGAACTTTCCAAGGGAAAATAATAGAAGTTTAATGTATACCAGTCCTTAGCATTTCACCTAGAGAAATCTGCCACTTTTGCCAACAAGGGCGGAACCACAATAAGGGCTACAGTGGGCTATAGCATAGTGTGGTTTTTTAAGAATAAAAATATAAACCCTATATATTTGACTTATTTTCAACATTAAATGTCATTGTCATTGTACTTTTATTTATTTTTATATTACTTCATTTTTATAGTACCCTCCATTTGGATTCAAATAAAAATACTAGAAAATTAAATTCCCACCAAATCAAAATACGAAAAATTAGTTTTAGTGCAAAATACGATTTAGACTAAAAATGATGGCTCATTAACTTAATATATACTTCATACTAAAATCCCATAAAATCAAGTTTTTTTATTCGATGTGTGAGGAATAAAAGCCGTTAAAAATTATCTTGAGAAAATGATTACTCTGAAAACCCATTTTTCATACTTAGTCAATATTTTTACATAAAACAACTTTTCATGTATAATATGAATGCATGAAGGAATCTAAGGTCAATCTAGATAAAAAGCCTTAGATGTTCAATTCACTATGGTGTTAAACCCTATTTGGTTTATGTTAAAATTTATTGAAAATTATTCTATGGAGTTATGAACAAGCTTGATTTATATGATTTAATTTACTTTTATTTCTAAAAGGACTATAGAAATTGTAAGTATAAAAAAAAAAAAAATCATTAAATTTTAGGGAGTTTCACTAAAACACCCAAAATGGGGGTTGAAATTATAAAAAAACCCAAGCACTATTTAAACATATAAACACACCCAAAACCCATCATTACACGTACCACCAATCGAGCCACCCAAGCCCGCCCCATCCCCAAACAACCAAATCGCTTAAGAACCAAACCAAACTCAACAACTTGACTTCACACCAAACCGTTGCCGTCGGCGAACAAACCGAAGAGAAAACAAACCTAGACTTCACAGCAAACCAGGTTAACCCCTCTCCCAACTTGGATCCAGCCACTTCTCAACAAACCAGATTAACCCGTCCCCCGCCGCCGACCTGACCTCTCCCCATGACAAAACCACCTGACATGTAACCCAATTCCAAAGATCTGGTTATTTTATTTTTTATTTTGTTTGTAAGCTACTCAAACACCAAGCAAGATCTCACCCCCAGCCTATGATTTTGATGAAAGGGATGTCATAGACCCAAGGAACTTTGGCTCTTCCAACTCCCGTAGCCTATGCTTTTGGTTAGAGAAATATGACTAGACCCAAAAAGTTTGGTTGTTCAGGGCAATTTGGTGGGTTGGGGATGGGGCGGGCTTGGGTAGCTGCAGTGGTGGTGGTTGGGTTATATGGAGGCGGTGGCTGGCTGGGGTTGGGTGCAGACTGTTGGTTTGTGTAGGTTTGAGAGGAGAAGGGAAGGGAGAGGTTTCATTTTTATTTCAAAACTATTTTTATACAAATTTATATTTGTATTGTTTAATTTTAAAAGGAATGAAATTTGTAATAATTTGTGGACTGAATTGCCCCTCCATAAGTAACAAAGTTAAAAAATTGATAGAAATTGAGTATTGTCCTTGAATTACTTCAAATTGAAACCACAGGGACAAAATTGTCCTTGAATTACTTCGGATCTCTCTTTTCCTAATATTACTTGTATAAAAAAAAAAAAAAAAAACAATACAAAACATAACCATCAGTGTTAGACTAAGCTAAAACAAAATATTCAAGGTTCGAACAACTTGTTCCTACATTTGCATTTCCATGAGAGGAGATAATAGCCCTCATCTCCCTGATTTGTATTTGTTGCCTTGAGATTATTATTCTTATCAGGTGGAGAAACAACCTGAGTGGGCGTGCAAGGTATGCAACCCACGCACCTGTTAACACACCCAGGAGGCTTTGAACCCATGACCATCTTCATCTGCTTTTCTAACCGCTGATGATCTCCATCTCTTACTGCCATTGAATTAGCTTCTGAAACGGAAGAAAAGAGTGTGAGAGAAAAGATGATCACAATGATAGCAATCGTTAGCCCGTTCGGATATTTTCTTGAGGAAGAAGCCATCATGTGTCTTGTCTTGGAGTTGAAAAGAACGGAACAAGAGATGAGAAGCTACGCTATGGCGTCCAATATGATGGGGCAATAGAACAGGTTGATATTTCGTCACACAATGTGCCCTATATATACTAGATTCCTAGAATTTCAAGGAAATCTAAATCCCTTTAATAACTGGGAAATAAGAAGAAAAGGAACAAATTTCATTCTTGACTTCACTAGTGTTTACCTACTTACACATAAGAATCATTTAATACATGAATCCTACTTCAAAATTTATAATCTAATACAAGTAGGGGTAGCTCCTCTGATCCTCATTATTTGTTTATCATGTTCTCTTTTTTGTTTATTCCTATCATGATGAATTACTTTTCCGATTAACTTTAGATCTACCATACAAGATTACTCACTAGTAGGATTATGTTTACCATCTCCCTTTTTTTTGGGGGTCGCAATAGGTTTCGAAGCTTTTTGTTTTTTGGCAGCTAAGAGCATCCAGAATGATGCTCTCTATTTCTTAGCTAAAATTTGGCTAAGAATATAAGAAAGTTATTTTAGGAACTCTCTAAAAAATTTCAACTCCAATCATACTCCCTAATTTGAAGAGTTATAAATGCTATAACTCTTTTTTGATTGGTCCATCTCTATTAAAAAATAAAATAAAAAATGGTTAGCATTAAATAAAGGTTTGAAATACTCATTAAATAAAGCAGCATTAAATTATAGGATCCTCATTATTTGTTTATCATGTTCTCTTTTTTGTTTATTCCTATCATGATGAATTACTTTTCCGATTAACTTTAGATCTACCATACAAGATTACTCACTAGTAGGATTATGTTTACCATCCCGGTTTTTTTTGGGGGTCGCAATAGGTTTCGAAGCTTTTTGTTTTTTGGCAGCTATGTCAGTATGTCTGACTTTATAGGTTTCTTTCGGTTTGAATTACTGAAGTTACAAGTTTTTTTTTTTTTTTTTTTTTCATCTTTTTCTGCATGAATATTACAGGCTAAGAAACAAAAAAAAAACCACCGAAAGAAACAAGCTAAGACCAAGAACTACCATCGCTATAATCGCTACAATTTCGGGGAGGACAAGGCAAACCGTCTCGGGATAGAATGAAAATCAGGGATGTTGGAGGTTGAATGACCCAAGCCTCAGCGCACAAACCCCCTCCTTTTAACACTCGAAGCTACCCAATCTGCAGCTTGGTTTGCTTCCCTAGGGACCCATGACCATCGGAGGTAGGAGAAAGAAGTCTTTAGAACTCTGATTTCACAGTGGATAGGAAATAAAGACCACTTCGAGCATGACAAGTCCTCCTTAACAGTCGATAAGCATGCTTTCGAATCCACTTCAACAATGATATTCCTTAAGCCACGGGCCTTAGCCAACCTCAACCCATCAAGAAATACAACACAACTACTTCCCCCAACGCTTCCAACTCTCTCTCACATGAGCTGAGAACAGAGGTGGGTCCAACATATGGGAGAGAGAGAATTGGACTTCAAAGCCATGCCGCTTGTGTTCCTCATCCCATTTGTGGCAGCAAATTTTGTTGCTGCTTTCCCAAATATTTCGCGTTTGTAATGGTTCTATTCTTTAATATTCATGAATTGTTCTTCACTTGTTGCGACAAGTTTCTATGACCCTTGTTTACCAAACAAGTTGACACTTCAACTAATGATACAGATGATGAAATTAAAATTCAGGGGATTACATTGTATATCATGGTTAATCTTTGCCAGAAATTAACAATGAATCTAAACACCCACCGGCCACCCGCAAAACAAAAATCAGCAGAACAAAAAACCAAAAAAACAGAATTTCCCCAGTACACAGCACCAACTCAAAATTCTCTAACAAGTACCTAAACTTTAGACATTCTTGGCATGCTACGAACCACAAGCCTAGCACAACAGCAGGAAAACATTTTCACAAACCGTGACCTCTTGAAACCTAAGTAACAGAAAAGAAGCCAGAATTCAGTGTTCGTTTCCAATGCCTAAGATGCACTTCGAAAGATGAGTCAAATATGGTTCTGCTTTGGAGCTACTGTTCAATATTGGTCCCAGGCTCTGAAGCTCTGCATTGAACTCCCTCTCGAATTTGCTGTAATATAAATAAGTCAGAGAGAGAGAGAGCGAGACAGAGGTGTATTTGTGTGTGTAATTATGTACGTACTCCATAGCCATTTCAAACTTACAGAATAGAATCAGCAACAGTTTTATTGCTGGAGCTTAATTTTAATGGCTGATATGGACGCCGTGATTTCGATTGCCTGGGTTTTTCTGACACAAGTGAACCATCAGACTCGACAAGGCTGGGAACATCAATAGAAGATGATATCAACCACTGAGTTGCAGCTGCATATTGTAGGCAAAGTGATTTCAGCCTCTCCACCTTCTGCATTCAGAGAACACACTATTGAGGAAAATCACAAAGTCTACCCAAGAACTCCAGAACTTATGTTCTGAACATATGATCCCAAAGAGATATGATCCCATTTCAACATGTCCTGATCCACTGTTCCATAATAAATGCAACTTAGACGTATATTAAGTTCATTGTTATTCTCTATGTTGCATAATCAATTTATAGGTCTCATGACGAGCGTCTTTACTAGCATGTTAAAGTGTATTAATTGAAAGGAAATTTATTGAAGAATGTGAAAGTTAATACTGAAAGAATTTAAGTTCTCATGCTTGTGTGAGAGACGTGATTTGATTTGGAGCGAGTCCAAGATCTATAATGCTGAAGGCTGAGTGATACCTGAATTTTTCTAATATCTTACTAGGGCCTACATCAAACATGGAGGCTGTCATCATCCTCACAGAAACATTCTACACTAGCATATCTCCCTGGCCTCAAGCATACCCAGTATGTTGCACATCCTTCCATTTTCCCTTATTAAAGTTTCTCTCTTTCAAATGGAAGAGATCTTCTCTCCAACCTCTTCTATATTTATTACATCCCTCTATTTCTAGTTACCTCTTCTACTATATATCCCTTTATGTCTAGTTATGTATGTATGCTTGGATGTAGTAAGAACAAACCTTGAGAAATTCAGGCAAAAGAAGCAAGCATCCCCTCAAACACTTGTCAAGGAAAAATTCATGGTGTTGGATAACCTGTATCACGAAGAGCCTTGAAAGTCAAACATGAGGTACTTCTACATAAAATAAATACTGCTGCCTCTATCAGAATGTCCAATAAGTGGCATTCTTCTTTTCAGCCAAACATTTCTTTTTTTCTTTGTTTCAAATGAAGACGAGAATTTCTATACGAGGAAGACCATACCTCATCTATGCTCTTTGCAGTTTGAAGTCTATTATGCATCACGTGCCAATTAGGCTCAATAACCTGTAAACAAGTTCTGTTGTCAATAAACAAAAGGCCAGTTATTTTTTTCAACATTGCTAGGAAAATATATTTCAGGAATGTAGAACTTGAATTGGATTTCTTAAGGTCGGACAGTATTTTATTATGTTTCCCTTGCGATCAACAGGACAGAATGAACCCCAGCCCCGTCAGACCTAGCCAGTTTTCTCTAAAGAACCTTGAAAGGTCGGACATAACTTTGTAGATGTACAGCTAACATTACATACAGTGATTTGCAACGGGAGGCATGCAACAAGGATCATACATCAAAAAATAAAATAAAAAATTGTACACAATGCATATATAAGCCTGCACCACACAAGGGTGTTTAGGTGTCGAATGCAAGCATTCCCAGCATAAGATTCAACCATTCCCAGAAAAAAATTCAGTATTTGGAAGTGTCCGATGGAATGTACCATGCTGTGTTGTATCGACAACAGCCAAATAAAGAGAAAGGAAGTAAACCAATAAAAACCAAAACCATGAGAAAAGAAAAAAGAACTAAAGGAGTAAAAGTACTTAAATATAGGAAAAAACAAGCACATCACAAGCTACAACTATAGCATGGCAAAAGCATCTGGCGAAAAAGAAATTTGGTAAGGTAAAACCTGCCTCAAATGTTAGATAGTGTAGAAGGCTATTAATAAATTTCAGCATGCTACGACAGAGCAGAGATGATCTGGAGATAGCAGTTCCACGCATGTTGAGGGCACGAACTCCCTGCAAATATATATTTCCATTTAATTAAACAGGGAAATGAGGCTATTGGCCTGGCTAGATGAAAAAACAAAACAGAAACCCATACTTGATGTGCTTGCCATGCCCCACAAAGTTGGCGATCCACGTGCTTACAGTGGAAAAGAAAGCGGAAAATCAACTGGTACTTTGTTAAGGAATGTTTAGAGATAACAATAGACAATGGCCACCGAATCTGAAAAAGAACCAAATAGTCAGCAAATCAAAGAAAAATTGTTTGATCATGATGCAGGATGAGATCAAAATGGCATCATATGAAAATTCTCACGAGCTAGATCCATTTAAGAAAACTCAAACCAAGAACATTCACCAAATATGCATCTTGTTAAGTAATTTATACTATCTTTTTACTGCAGTAGTTGAGAGAAAGAGTCTCATTGAATCCCTACAAATACAAAACCGGGGAGGGAGGAGGGAGAAGGATTTGGATGATGAAGTCTTCGGTATAAATTATGCTATTTTGTGTTTTTTTTTTTTTTTTTTGGGTGCAGGTGCTGTTTTGGGTAAACACGTCAATCGTGTAGTTTGAACAAAGAAAATGAAAACAGTACTGAGGAAATCACTGTTTTTCTAACAAACCTTATAATTCAAAGAAAATGTCTCAAGTCCTGTTATGCTCACTGGCTCCTCTAGATCATTATCATCAGGAACATTCCTGCTCCTTTCACCATCGGTCAGTGTCACCAGATTTTTGATGTTTCCTGAAGAAAAACTGTGAAACTATTTAATTGATGCAAAATCAATTCAGAAATTTTTCATATGCAAGAAAAAGAAGAGAGTTGCTTACCACGCAACATGTTAAGTCCTCATGGCAAGGATCTGTTGCAGCTGCTGTGGTACGCAAAGCAAGGTCTAGAAGAGACTATTTAGCAAAACAAAAGCTTAAACATCTCAGTTATTTCGAACTGTGAAAACATAGAGAAGTATTTGCCTGTAAGGGACTATGAAGAGTGAAGACCTGCAGCTTCTCCACAGAAATCTCATCAAGCTTTTTCGTAAGCTCATCTCGAGCAATATCCATGAAATGAACTAAAAAATCACCCTGTACAGACACCATCAGCTACTTGATTTTGAATAACACTATTTTTTTATATAAAATTGAACAAAAAGAAAAAGAAACAAGCTTTTTCCATGCATAATGTGATTGATCTTTTCTTAACCAGATCCAAAAAAATGGTACAAATATTTAACCATCAGCATGCCCTTCATGCATCCTAACCAAGATTTGCATAAGTACAATCATTTCTTCTTTCTCCAAAAAAAACCTATGTTTTTCTCACAAAAATAGATAAATAAGTACCAAAGGTGTAATACAAATTACTGTGGTAAATCTTCTGGTAACTGAAATTAAAAAAGTAAACCTTGAATAACATAAATCATGAACATCTCATGTTCTAGCACCTTCTTTTAAGGAGTTTTTTTATATTTCAAGTAGCAGTAGTATACATTACTCTTGATTTTTGGGACCTAAAAAATTGGATCATAACACTCTAATGGTTTCTACTTCCTAAATCAAAAAGGAGGATTTTGATTTTTTTTGAAATACTCGCTACAAATTAAACCAAATTCTTACATATGCATGTAGAAGAGAGATTATTATAAAGGCCTCTTCAAAAAGTCATCTATTCTCATAGAACCAACCTTACAGGCAAATTTGCTAGATTGAAAAGGTAATACTTTGACATGCACATAACTGTAGAGAAATCACCAAGTACTTCTGGAGGTACCAAGACTTAGAACGGTAAACCAAACATGCTCCTTCCTAGGGCTTGAAGAAATTAATGCGACCTTACACAATTACATTTACATGGTTGAAGAGGCAAAATGTGCACACACTTCCACTAAGTGTTGAAAGCATCAACACATAAACCATTACCATCGTAACCTTAGACAGAAAGATATGTATGTCCACTATGCTCATAGTATTATAAGGGACAGCTGAGCTAGCATAACCTAACGCTCCTCGAACTCCACCTGGTATGGATGGTTCAACAATTTCTAGTCCCAATTGCGGATTAAACATGGTATCTCCATATTACAATGTATTATATAATTGATCTATTTCCAAGTTCACTGGTCACAAAACAATATACATATACCTGATCAAGAAGAAGATAGTGCTTTATAGATCGTAACTTTCCCATCAGATCATACTACACAAGAAAACAGAGAAGGATGGCTAACATAAACGAATTGCAATGAAGATAATGCAGCATGAATGTAAGCATTTTTTTTTTTTAAAAAAAAAAAAAAAAAAACCAAAAAGCAAAAAAGAAAATTCAGGGGAAAACCAAATACTGACAAACTGAACCTCACCTTTTCTTTGATGAGATTTAAGAGCTCACTGCTGGCAAAGTCATAAGCAGATTTTATACACTCAAGATAGCGATGGTTTGAGCCAAAGCTCATCAATTTTGAATTTTCTGATTGAGGGACCTATTCGTACAATCCAGTCAATGACATGTACTAACACAACCATATTGATGCAAAGGGATATTATAATGGATGATTATAATATAAGAACCATTGTAATGGATAATTAACCAGAACCTGAACATGGTGCCCGCATTCTCTCATGACATTTAGATATTTTCCAGTGGTCAAAATTGTCCCAGAAATATTTGCAAGGAAGCTAGGGATTCCATCCTTGAGGCTGTAACGTTGCGTCCAATACTTGGCATCATAATCATGAGTCAGGCTTTCCTGTAAGATTTTACAAACTGTAACATAATAAGCATAAATTTGATGCACTCATAATTGCGAACTCACAAAATATACCTTTTGAAGAGATTTGTTCTCAGCAATGAAAAATTCACCATAAGGATCATCAATGACTCCTTCATAAACCCACCTAAAAGTAAGTTTTGATTCCGTACATAGGGTCAATCAGAACGAGTAATAAAGTATTGAACAAATGATACCTAAATCCACCACTGCCCAAGGAAAAGAAACAAAACAACTTAATCTGTCTTTCCACATTATAATAGATTTAAAATAAGAAATCCATGTCAAAACTATTAGAGGATTGAATATATATAGAAACAAGGGGCATAATACTATTCCTCCAAGAAAATGCACATGAACATAGAAAAACAATATCTTTATACACATAATTATTTCATAGAGAAGACAGCACAATAAATACAGGGTTAAGCAGGATGGGAAGGCAACAGGCATAACATCTTTAAAACGACCTGACATGACACAACACTATCAATGTTTGTTCCGCCGTGCACAACTTGTCCAACGGGTCATGCTGGGCACAACACATCATGGACCCAACCCATTTGACACCTACTGTAAAGAAAGATGATAAAACCTTGACATGCCGCACAGAAATTTCTTTTCTTTTATATAAAAAGAAAAAAAAAGGTAACTTTTATGTAAATAACACTTTAATTTCATATTTAGTGGGCAACTTTTATGTAAATAACACTTTAACAGGTCATGCTGGGCACAAGATTGAGGGGTTGAAACACGACCACATCCTCATTGGTTAGAGATTATATATTTTTTAACTATAATTTTGTAATTATAAAAATCCCATATGTCAAGTGGCATTTGGATGAGGTAAGTACGTAGTAGGACCTAAGTTCAAGTTAAGGTTAAGCAATAATAGGAACTTTCAATTAAACAGAATTCTTAAGAAAAGCTTGGGCCTCTATTTTCATGTACAGGTAGGGCTATGCCAGAAAACTTTGCCCAGGCCCTACCGAAGGCTCCCTGGTCCAAAAAGCTCATCAGGTTCAGACTATTTTTGCAAGACTAAGGTCTCCTAGCTTCTAATCCCTCTCCCAAGAATACAAAAGTGTCAAATATGTGCCCATGGTAACCTTGGGTCTAAAACACGTCTTAGTACAGGACAATTTCCCAAATAAGCCTAAGTTGGCCATTCTAATAGACTTTTTTGGAACCTGCCCTTCCACCCTCCCCCAACACAAAATAAAATGAGATAACCGAGTGGAAATTAAGTTAGGCAGGGAGAATAAGGAATTACAGTTTACAATATTAAAAGAAAATGGAAGAAACTTTGTAGAAGGGAATAAAACTCTCTGTATCTTTGTAGCATATTATGCTTATGTAATTAGCTTTTCATGTTCAACTAGAGATGTATAACCAGTTGGCAGAGGAAGTTGCAATTTTAACACAAAATTATGGTTGCAACTTGACAGCACGCTTGCAAAAGAGTACCTCTCCAATATTCCAAGGTATGCATTGCTCGCACATTCTGCCATCTTTTCTAGCAATGACCTTACACCATTATCACCAGCCATGGCCTTAGCCTGGATATTTCAAAGAGCCATGGTATGCAGCAATGGCAACAGGACAAAAGGTAAGAATGAGAAACATGCAGTGAGAACAGTTATTACTTCCAAAGGGACCAACCAGAGGTTATGTAATTCCTGTTATCTCCAAAAAATACAGAGTGACTCAGACATAAGGATTAACCTGGCTCTGCAAGAGGTTAAGAACTGCAGAACCTGCAAAATTATTAGCTGAAGCCCTCTGTATTACGTTAGATAGTGCTTGCATGGACCCCATCATTGGCTGCAACGCAGATTAGAGAGCCCATTTAGGTAAATAAAAGAAAACCCCTTAAAAATAGCTAAAATTTGTCTGAGAGAACCTCAAACCTGACAGTAAAACCACAAGCCTTGTAGGGACAGTCTTCCAAGTCGAAACTGGTGTTCCAATTGTGCCACCATGGCCTGGTAATCCTAATACAGAAAAACCAGAAGGAGGTGTTCAATGGGGGAGATCACTTCATCCTTTTTTATATCCATACTTAATACTTTTCTTCGTCCATGAACCTTAGGTCTAGATGAAAGAAATGGAGTTGCCATCGAGTAACTTTTATGTTAAAATAAGAAACTCAAACTGAAAACAGATTTCAGTAGGAGAAAGAAATACACATCTTGAAGAGCGAAAAAATACCAAATATTCCAATCACAGGTTAGTGAAACAAACATAACATGCACAAAAAGGGCTTAAAACAGGGAGGGGAGGGAACCCTACTAGAAGGAGAGCCCTGAGTGCAGCAGCAAAGGCATGATTCACCAGACCATTCTTGAATTGAGATCTTGATTCAACAAACTGGTTAATGAGCATAAAGCTCTCACACAGAGGAAATACCCGTTTCGCCAATTCCTGAAGCATTTCAGTACCCAATAAAAAGTGATAAATATTAAAGTGCCAAGTCTAAAATAACAGAGAGATTGCGCCAATCCACACCTGGAGAGCTAAATCCATGGATGCATCAACTTGAAAGGTGAAATTATCCTCTTTTCCGTGGGCCCTTTTGATCGAAATGTAGCGTCCTTGGATCCCAACCATTGCAGACAAGAGGTCATCGATGACCACAAGTTCCTACTTGTGCAACAACCATCATAAGCACGACTACCTTTCATCCAAAATTGTAAAGTTCCATATTCAAATTCAAATTCAAATTCAAACTCACCTGAACAGCAGCATTGTAACAACCAATGGCCTTTTCGGATCCCAAGCTGCAAAATTCAAAAATTGTTTTTCTTTTTCAATTAAAAAGACAAAAAGAAGAAGATTATGACCAGAAATGTAAATGGATGAAGATGTGACATGATGTTTACCCAAGGGAATCACCGGAATAGCCCTTGGTGTCGAAGAAACGCGACGTCGTTTTGGTTTCCTGAAACAAAAATGAAAATTTTGAACTGGCATTCGCAAATCTCAGAGAGAAAAATGAAGTGAAGAACATTAGAGGAACCTGATGAAAGCGGCCAGTGAGGAATGGCCTCTCGGAGTTCCAGCGAGGAGTTGAAGGACATGATATTGCTGAACTAGTCTCCATTGGAATTGGGAAACTCACAAAACCCACAGCTCAGTCTGAATAATGAATCAAACCCAAAAAAAAAAAAAAAAAAGCTTAGCCAGCCGATATTCAAGTTTCTCTCACTCTCTCTCCGTCTCTGGTTGATCCTGGTTGTGGGTTAGTGCTTGCTTCCCATGGAAATTTGACGTCTTGATCACTATTTGGTTAGATTTTGCAACATTGGAATTTGCAGTTGGTATGGTTCAGAGATTGATTGAGAGAGAAGGGGAGAAAGAAAATGGTGGCTGTGGTTGTTTTGGTGAGGGGGGTGGGAGGTTGAGAACGGGGAGCTGCCGAGAGTGAAGAAAGGGGGAGAAGCGGGGATGGGTCTTTTACTAAAGGCTTATTAGTGTTTCACCACTGAAACCGACGCGGTTCTCATTTTACCCCTTAAACTAAAATTTTCTCACTTAATTCTCTGAATTTCTAAAAAATACTGAAATTTTCTCACTACTTCCCTCCATTTTCATTTACAAAACCATTAAAGTATGCTGACATGGCATGGACATTCTAGTAATTTTAGCTTGTATTATTTAATTACTCGGCTATTTTATACGAGTTATGCTTTTAATACTCTCCTTATCTGACTAACTAATACAACACACACACCTCGATTTAGATAATACACGCTTAATTATACGGTTAGGAAAAAAGAACATGCGTTCTACGAAAAAAATCAGACACTCTTTTCATCTTCTTCTCCCTAGGGTTCTTCTCTACTATCTTCTCCACAGGTTATTTTCATCACTCTTCTCTAGGTATCCATCTCTCACTCTCTCTTTTTCGTACTCTCTCCAATATGCTTCTTCTTACTTCTTCTCTATTCTTTATATATTTCAATTTTGTTATTAAATTTTTGTGGAAATTAGGTTATGATTTTTTTTTTTTTTTACATTTTTTTTAATCGAATGTTTTCTATGTATGTGATATAGTGATTCAACGTTGTGGAAATATTTAGATTGTTGGTATTAAACATAGTAGTGCTAGTTCTCTCCAATATGCTTCTTCTTACTTCTTCTCTATTCTTTATATATTTTAATTTTTTTATTAAATTTTTGTGGAAATTAGGTTATGAATTTTTCTTTTTTGACATTTTTTTAATCGAATGTTTTCTTTGTATATGATATAGTGATTCAACGTTGTGGAAATATTTAGATTGTTGGTATTAAATGTAAGAATATTTTATAAATATTCTGTGTGGCCCACATGAAGTGACCTATGTGGTAAATAAATTGTTTAATTGGTTTAATAAATATTATTCAGAATAATTATATTGGTCAAATAAAGAGAAGTAGTTTCCTATTTTATTACTGTGATGGGTGGTAATTGATTATGAGCTTTACTAGGAAACGGGTCATCTCTCTGCCTATAATAGTACACATACCCATCTTATATTTACACTGATGAAGACACATATTAGGGTTTTTTCTAAACGTGCAAAAGGCTAGAGAGAGAAATATATTTCATCCACACTGACGGCTCGCCTACGGATCGCTCAAGACAAATATCTTGATATGGTAGGTATGTGTGCAATTTAAATCTAATTGAATTGTCGCCTAATGCTGTTGTGAAAATCATGAAGTTCAAGATCTTGGGTCATAGATTGGGTTCTTATGGTTTTACCCAATATTAAGTTTACATTAAATAGAGTAGTGCTAGTTTTCGTCCAAAAACAAACAACTATGCTAGTGTTGGTAGTTTAGTTGAATACATACATACCTAACGACCAGGAGAGCAAAATTACAAAATTAAAATGGTATAAACCAGAATTCTAGGAACCATTTTATTTTTTTGTCAATCGCTATTAGAAAAAGCAATTCAGTGAGTAGTACTAGCGGAGAAAAGGCTAATATAGCCCAACTCAAGCCCTACAAAAGTGCTCAAAGAGAAGATATGGACTTCCGGGTGACCATGGGCCCTTTCTTATGTTTTTCTCTTGAACCATTTTCATGATTGATAAATTTTCTCTTTTCCTTTTCTTTTTACGATTCCCAAGCTTATGGCCTTGGCTCTATTGATTGCAATGCTTCTGTTTTACTGCTGCTTATCATCTTAGTATGTGATCACTTTGAATTATATATTATTTGGTACTAATTTTATTAACGTATGCGAGTATGTTGGAATTTTTATGAGATACTACAATTATGATAATGGGTTATATGAAAAAAAAAAATCTTGGCAAAAACAATTGAAAAACAAATCTTGTCATATGAATCTTACCAAAAAAAAATTTCGTGTCATTTGAATCTCAATTTCCATTAAAATTATCAAAGATTTTTTTAATTTTTAAAATAGTCTGATATGATGTTATCTAGAACATCACCCAACACAGTATAACTTAGTCAGACTATTTATCCGGAACAACACCAAACGTCTTATAATATTATGGATAAATAGTCAGTACTCTCCAGAATATATTAATACTATTTGATGGAAATTAGCCAGTACAATCCGACATACCAAATGAGCCCTTAACAGTTTTGTGGACGGAAATGGACAAAATTGGTAAAGTGAGAAAATTTTAGCAATTTTTAGAAATTCAGGGGGTGAAGTGAGAAATTTTCAGTTCAAGAGAGTAAAGTGAGACTAAGCTTTCGTTTTAGGGGGGTGAAACAGTAAATAAGTCTTCACTTAATTTTAATTTTGCAAAGAGTCATTTTAGGTGCCTCTAGTTTGCCCGTCAATGACTTTTGTCTTTGTATTTTTAATTTTGTCAATTGTATTATTGTAATCTTCAATTTGGAAAAATTTATAACACATCTCTTTTTCTGTCAATTATTTTGATCCATTTGAGCCAAATTCCTCACAATTCACCCAAATATTAACACAAATATGCAATTTTTTCAAAACTCTAAGTCCAAAAATTAGACCTAAAGTGAATGGAAAAAAACTTCAACTTATGTTTTACCATTAGATGGTTTGAATTAAAGAAATACTTTGAGTGCATTTCTAGCGTCTGGGCCCAAGAATCTCATTTTTGGGTTAATTGACTTACCATGTAAATTAGATAGAGTTGTACTTAATCTTTATGTTAGGGAACTTTTTTTTTTTTTTTTTTTTTTTTTTGGAATAGAATGTAACTTAGATAGTATGTAGGTGGTTATATTAGAAAATATATATTAGTAAACTAGTTTTTGAAGGAGGGTCTCCACAAATATTCATTGGATGTCTGGGGGTTTCGAATCTCTGCCCACATGAGTGGAGGTAGAGGAGCTCAACCAATTGAACTATACCCTACTGGCAGTAAATTAGTTGTTAGTCTTAGGTAAAGGTAGCAACGCTATGTTGAATGAGAAAGCCAGATCCCTCATTGGTGTACTTTTATGGATGTTTGGGGTGTTAGATATAGAGTAAAACCGTGTTATTAATTAGGGGTGGTTAGGGTTTAGTTTAGATTTGTGTTAAAATTACATTAAATCAATGACTATGTAACATATTGATTTGGTTCGATTTTAACTAAAACTATGTGTAAAAGAAAACCAAATCAAACCATTGTTATGGGGTTTGGTGTGGTTTGATTTGGGCGTAAACTCGATCCTTTTTTTTATTTCGCATTTTTACTTGTTGATTAGCCTAATTCTAAAGCATGCTAATTATTCTTTTCACTTTGCAGTGCAAAGACACATTCTTTTCTAATTTCTAAATCTCTAAAACATCCTAAAATTCATCGTAACATCAAAGTAATAAAGTAACGATTTTCATATAAATACAAATGAAGTTTAACACTCAAATTTTGCAAGGAAGTACAAACAAAAGATGGCATGTGAAGAAATAATAAAATAAGAAATGAACAATTTAGTTCGATCTAGAGCGGTTTATAGAGGACTAAAACTGTCACAAATTCACACTGTAATGGGTGGTTTGGTTCCATTTTGAGACGGTTTGACTTTTTAATGGTTAAAATTTGCAATGTGAGTGAGATTGGTTTCTGCGGTTCATGGGGGGATCGAGTAAGGAAATATTTTTACTCAGCACTTCAAACTCAAGGTGTACTCTCACTATCATTCTCAACACTCGACATGTGCCCATTAACATAACCATAGTTAACTATTTACTTTGTATTTGTGTAACTATGGTTATAACCATGGACACATGTCAAGTATTGAGAAAGGTAGTGAGGCATACATAGGGTTAAAGTGGTGAGCAAAAATGCGCTGAATCAAACAATACTGGGAAAATAACTATGAAATACCAACTTTATTTCATTTTCCATGTTTAGTTTGTGTAGGAATGTAAAATAAAGTTTGATTAATTTTTTAATTATATCAATATTAGATAAAAATAAGAAAAAATAATATATTTAATGCTATATGGTAATTCTAAATTGTTAATGGGGACAACGTGATCATTAAATATGTGCATTTAATGTTGGCCTTAGTTTCCCAAGGGAAGGGAAAATGAAACCTGTTGAGGCCCAAAAAATCCACGGCTTAGCCCAAATGAATTATCGGCCCAGCGCAATACCTTATTGAGAAAAAAACCCGACTTGGAGCACACAAAAGTCCGCCATGCATGAGTCACACTCCACGCACCATGCCAAATAAATAATCCGTCATGCTAAGAATCGAGATTAAGATTATAAAATGCATTATCTTTGCAAATCCATGCTAATTATCCCGTCAAGTATAATAATTAAAAGCATGCCAAGCGATATGCCATGCCAAGCAGGAAATCATTATTATACACTCAACCACGCTACAAGCCTAAGTGGGCCCAAGCCACTCGAATGCCCAGGGCTTGCTTGAGTGGCTTGTGGTATGGATGATAATAAATTATCATGAGGCCTATTGATGGACCGAGAAGTGGAGGTTCTGGGTTGCTTGGGAGCCTCAGAACCCAAGCCCATTTCTTAGGCCCAAACATATGGGTGAGCACAAAATGGGAAAATAGTCCAACCAAAATAGCCCAACCAAAAAGCCCAACCAAAATGATCCACTAAAACTAACCTCAATAGCCCAATATTTGATAGGGGTGGCCCATTTGTTTAGAGGGTTGACTTCTTATCCTAGAAAACCCATACAAATAGAGGTAGCAAACAAACCCTATCTATTGGATGAAAGATAAAACCATGAAGAAGTCATGGAAGACCACGTTGGTTAACAGGAAGGAAGAAACAAGTGTCAAAGCAAAAGAAACATGCAAGGACCCAAGGGATATTAGCATGTAAGCTGCCAGGAAGAGAAGCACCCTTCAGACCAAGCATGTGCACCTATTTGCTTTCCTTCAGCAGATCTGACTAGGGAAGGAGGAAGGAAAGAAGAAGAAAGATGGTTGGGAATGAAAATCTCCCACTGAAACAACAACGGGAAAGAGGCCTTGAGCTCCAAAATATCTCTGATTTTGTGCAAATAGGCAGAGGAAATGTTAC